GTTTTTTTTTTTTTTTTTTTGACTACAGGACATCAATGAAGGAACAAAAACACACACACCACCCTGTTTTTGGATTGATGGCATCAGGAGTTAATTCTTATAGAAGCATCTCTTTTTGATGCACAGCTATCATTGAAAAAGATTAATGACACTGTTTACCTTTAAAACAAAACACAAATATAAAATCCTCTGCACATCTGCAAAGTCCTTTGTAGCTTCAGCTTACTCTTACTCTTACTCTTTCTTGGTGGTTTTCACACAGCCACCAAGTTTGTCATTAATGGGAATCATTCACAGCCGATTTTACAGGTGTTTCCAGTCCTTTTTTCAGGTGCTTCATCTTTGTAAAAAGAAATACTAGCTTCTGGTGAAAAAAAGCATCTATAATTAATCAACAGAAAAAAGAACTAACAAGTCTGGAACAAATGTAGCATTCCTTTCCAACAACTATCAGAAAGAACCTATACATCACATGTTTCTTGAAATCAAGAAAGTTTGTCATAGTAGTTCAAACTTGACGGCATCCAAAAGGCATACATGGTGTATGACCTACATTTTGCACCATTACAAAAATGTGAAGCCTTGAAAATGTGCACTAATGAATTCACTTTTAACACAAAAATGGGGAAGAAATGGGTAACAATGGATATTAATATATAATTTCATATCTCACCAGCCCATAGTTGGGTTGCCATGGGTCCTTAGGTCCTATTTCAACTATTTCATGGTATACTTCAAGAAATACCAGATTATATTCGTAAGAACAATAAGGATTGAGTTGTAAATCCACAATAGTCTATGAAATATGAGGACATTTTACAGGTTATCTTGCATGGATGAGAAAACCTTGGGCCAACAGTTCAAGGATTGCTTATTCTCTTCTAGTAATCACTCTAAGACTAATAATTCCAGGAAATTTGATATGGATAGTATAAAGGTAAGTACAGACAGTCCCCATCATTTCCTTAGTTGCATAGTCTGCAGTTAAGGCACTATTTATTTCTCTTCTCTCATAAGGTTTGCAACCAGAGCCATCTTTTGCAGAAAATGTCCTATCCCTGCTCAGCTTGGGTTTCATGTGTAACGCAGGACTAGAACTCACACACACCTGGTTTCTAGGCCAGCACTTTGACTATTACATCAGACTGTCTCTGTAAAACTGTAAAAATATTTTTAGTATAAATACATCAAATGCAAATCTTACATGAGGTAGACATTGCTTGATTAAAAGAAAAAAGAATTTCAACTGTCGGTGTAATATTCTAAATAGACCATAAGGTGGCACTGATCTATTAAAAAATATTAAAGTGGAAAAACGAGATCATTTGAAACATGCCTGATATAGTTTCAAGGCTGCCATAAAAGAGTTATTTAGCTTGTACTGAAATATTTGAAAGAACTGATCTTAAGTGTACACAGCAAAGTAAATTAAATTTTGACATGGCTTTTGCTTAAAGCATTTTGCTGTTTCTTAGACATAGCCCAAATCCTGAAGCAAACTCTTCTGTTATCTAAACCAGTGATCCCCAACCTTTTTTACACCGCGGCCCGGTATCCCCAACCTTTTTTATGGCGCGGCCTGGTACCGGCATTAGCTGGTTCACCGGAAGCACTTTTTCATCAAAAAAAGATGGCGGCGCCAGCGCTTCCGGTGAGCTTTTC